CTAGGTGAAGTGTGCTATGTAGTGAACATTTCAGAGCTTTAGCCCTTCTCTAAGAGCAGAAGGGGGTGGCCTTAATTCTTTTGCTGCTTTGGCATGCTGCTTTTGGGAGTAGGATTCCGGGAGTGCTGTGCTTAAGCTGGCGGCTGGTGGCAGGTGATGGTGGAGGTAATTTAAGGTGTGCTCTGCTTCTCTCCCCTTTCTCTCCCACCAGCCCAAGGTAGTGGTGACCCTCAGTGTGAACTCCCCTGACCTCTTCTGCCTCGTCTTCTGCTACATCAACCAGGGGCCTGCAAATGTGGAAGGGAGGGTCTCAGTCCTTGAGGAAAGAAAGTTTAATATTTATGGCAACTGTAAGTGCATTTTTCACTTCTAGACTAACATCTTCCAACCTCTACCGATGAAGGAGCCAAATTTTGTTTTTCTGCAAAACAGCATGTCATCCTCCTCCCTTCCCCTCCAAACCATAGATTTTGATCTTTTCAAGCAACTCCCTCCTGAAGCAGTGGCAATTGCGAATGGGAGGGAAACTAGAAAGGCAGACAGGTAGAAAGACAGAGCAGGCAGCAGGCTCAGAACTGCCTTGCAGTGATATGAGGTGGTGTACTTCTTGCCTTTTGCAGAACAAAGTCAAGGTCGCAATCCACGTACGAGAAGGAGAGCTCTATCTCTTTCATGTCATCTTGAGATACATTAATCCAGGAAGTGCCACGGTATTTGGCAAAATCACAGCTTCTCAGCCACGAAAACGAGGTAAGGATCCAGATTTGCATCCATCCCTTTTCCACAGCTGACTTGCTGTTCCCTGGAAAACTTGCTGAGTTTTCTCCTGCTTTTCACATTCTCAGGAACACTTGAGATTAAAATCCTGTTTGCTTTTACCAAGGAGCATGTCTGATTGAAATCAGTGGGCCCTTTGAGTAAACATGCACAGGGTTGTGGGGTACAGGTAGTCCTTGACTTATGACCACAATTGGAACCGAAGCTTCCGTTGCTAGGCGATGCGGTTGTTAAATGAGTCATGCCTGATTTTACAACCTTTTTTGCCCCAGTCGTTAAGCAAATCACTGTGATTGTTAAGTGAATCATGGGGTCGTTAAGTGAATCCAACTACTCCCATTGACTTTGCTGGTCAGAAGCTCCCTGGGAGGGTCACAAATGGCGATTACATGACCCAGGATGCTGCAACTGTTGTAAATACGTGCCAGTTGCCAAGTGCCCAATTTTGATCATGTGACTGTGGGGATGCTGCAATGGTTGTAAGTACAAGGACTGGTCGTAAGTCACTTTTTTCTGCACTGTTGTAACTTTGAACGGTTGTTAAACAAATGGTCATAAGTCAAGGATTACCTGTAATATCAGCTGAGCAAGGATTATTTTTTTAAAAAGCAGTTATTGCTTCATTTATGCCCTCTGCAGACCAATTAAGATTTTCACTAAAAGTTTGCCTGAAGATAGGCAGCTTTTGCTGACCAGCAAAGCACTTGTATTTATCTTTGCCAGTTTTCATTATATGTACAGTTGAACTCATTCTTTATTTCTGCGTGGCAGAAGATGCCATGAAAATACTACCCTTCAAATAATGAGGCAGATACCATTTTTTAAATTGTGGGCTGTATCTAGGAAATGCAAGCATTTAATTTGCTCTGAATTACAGGACTATGAATTGCATTTCAAAGATAAAGTAAGGATCCTTTTAACCCATGCATTGGTTTGAAGAAGAATCAAAAAGAAACCCTTTTCTGCCTCCACAGTACATCTAAGTAGAATGCGAGAAAATACACTGATATTCATTGAGCATAGAATATATTTATTACTGGCTTCTAGGGGAGGTATGGTGAACTGAAGATGGCTCTGCGAAAGCAAAGCCGATGCCCACGGCAAAGACCAAGGAACCAATGAGTATTCCTTGGAACCTCTCTGGATAAGGGAAGGACGGGAGATTGCCCATGTGTGCTCTAGACAGCTGCTTCTTGCAAGGAAACTGCAAGACAGCAGTTTTCCATGGGTTTGAGCACCAGTAGAGAAAGGGATTATTCATCTTGTTCGCAAACATGGTGGAGTCTTTTAAGGGACACTAAGTTTGCAAAGATCACTTTCTAATCAGTTTTGGAAATTGCTCATTAACTACTTGCAAGCTATTAGAAACCTTTGGAAAGACAAGTTTGCAAACACCAGGTAAGTTTGCCTTCAATCTTGCACGAAGGAAAATTTTAATCATAAGCTTAAGAATTTAAGCAGCAAAAAGCTAAATAATATTTTGATGTTAGAAAGTTATAAACGAATTAAGGGTCCAGATAAAATTGGAATATTGAAACTTCTACAATAAGATTTTGGAATTAATTATAAAGAACAGCTTTTTATGGGAAATAGATCCTATTTTGGTTTTTACAAGACATAATAAAGATAAGCAATTTTATGATTTCAAAAACTGGACGCTAGAGCAGACTGAAGTTTTTAGATAGAGGAAAGATTTAAAAACCTGTACAATGTTGCATAACATTATAACAATAAACATACTGAAGAAGACTTTTGAAGAATGGAATCAGAAAATAGTAGCCACAATATCAACAATGACAGTAATGATGTCTGCTACTATGGATAGACAATGTTCAAAAGATGTTATTGAAGAAATGACAAATGTAGAACAAATTTTATCCAACAAGATAGAAATGGTATCGAAAGTGGATTTACAACTGACAGGCCAAGAGAATGACTTAGAAAGGGATGCTTCACTGGATCTACAAAAGAAAGGTTTTGACTGAGGTTTTAAAATTTAAAAGGGAAATACAAATGACAAACCAAGAGAATGACCTGGATAATTTTTTTCCTATTGGATTTACAAAAGAGGTTTGTTAAAGCCTTGAAGAACACTTATTTGAATGAACTAAAGATTAAGACTGTTAGAAGTAAAAGGAAAGAATATAAAGTTGGTTTATTTG